AAATACAAATTTTCCGTAACAAGTAGGAAATTATGTTGTGAGAACATTTTAACAAAATCTTTATTCTTACCCGTGCTGTCGGATAGCGGTACTCATGTACTGATCTTAATCGAGAGCATCCCGATATTTTAATTATAACAGTTTGTTTTAACCGAGGAAATTTACATGTTTTCCGCCGTCTGGGACTTGAAAAATGGCTCGCTATAGCCGAAAATTCGTTATAAACGAGTACGTATTAATATAAAATTAAGAAGGAATCGGCCGGGGATATCAGATTTAGTTCGCTATTAACGACAATTCGTTATAAACGAGTTCGTTATAAGTGGAGTCGACTGTACATGTAACACTATTGACCATAAGAAACAGTTAAGTCAAACAAATGTAATAGTTATTATGCATTTAAATTTGGGGTGTAGTGTCATGTTTCTTTGGAAATTGAAGTCAAAATAGTTCTCAGAAATCAAATATTTCTCTGACAAAGATAGAAATGTTATGAGCATGATGTAAAGCTCCCACAAACTTTCTGATATAACTCTAGTGCAATCACTGTTTGTTTTTACTTTGACTAGAATCAAAAATGATACCTTTGTTTACAGTTTGTGTCCACAATGATAATAGCATATAAATAAATATTATTCTTGTCACTTGTGCCTGGTTATATAAAAAAAGACAAATTTCTAATAAAGGGAATGTACAAGTTTGTTTTGTGTATGTTAAGAACAACTTAAGCATGTAAAATAAAAAGGGAATGGGGAACATGTATTTTTAAAGGTATTATAAGTAGATTTCAACAATAATAAATGAATGATTTCAAAATTAAAAAAAAAAAAAAAAAAAAAAAATGGGTCAAAGGACAGAAAAGGCCGGGTTGCATTTCTATACCAAATATCATGATTTGCTGTAATGTTTTGAAAAATATTTACACTCTGACCATTAATGTGGAAAATTTAAATAAGTCAGTTAACAGGAAGTGGATGAGTGAAAGACTTGTAAAATCGAATCCCACATTATAAGACCATGTGGTCAATGCTGCTTTGTCAAATATCAAGAGCCTGTGATAAGTAGTTGCTAAAAAAAAAAAATCTTGTCACAAAAATTTCCTACCATTGACCATTAATGTTGAAAATTTAACGGTAAACGGGGCTTGGTGAGCGACAGACCTGAAATCAAATCCGACGGTATGGGACCACGTTCAATACTGTTATACCAAATATCAAGAGGCTGAGATAAGTTTGGTATGGAAGACAAAACTATGAAACTATGAACATTTGGTTTACATAAATTCCATAAATAAGTTCAAGTGGGGGGGGAGGGTAATTTCTGGAAATAGTCATGCTTGGTCACGCAACATATGTTGTAATGATAAGAAATATAAACAAGAGGGCCATGATGGCCCAAAGTCGCTCACCTGTATATAGACCCCCGGAGCGGGGCCAGTTTAAACCCCAGGGCTTTTATTTGAACAAACTTGGTTGACACCCATTAGAAGATGTTTCATGCCTAAACATCTAAGGGTTCTAGCTTGTTGGGTTTTTTTTAAAAGAAGATTTTTCAAGTTTTTTTCTTTACACATATAGTTAAAAACAATGACACACCTGCGGGCAGGACCAGTTTTGATCCAGGGCTTTTTATTTGAACAATCTTTGTAGACACTTACTAGACAATGTTTCATGCTTAATATCAGAACTCTAGCTATTCAGGTTTTTTTTTGAAGAAAGATTTTTAAGTCTTTGCTTTACACATATAAGGAAAAAATGAATGACCCCCGGGGCGGGGCAATTTTGACCCCAGTGCTTTTATTTGAACAAACTTGGAATACACTCACTAGAAGATGTTTCATGCTTAGTATCTAAAACTCTAGCTATTTGATTTTTTCATCAAAAAAGATCTTTTAAGTTTTTGTTATATGCATATAAGGAAAATGAATGAACCCCGGGTCGGGGCCAATTTTGACCCCTGGGCTCTCATTTGAACGAACTTGGTAGACACCCATTAGAACATATTTCATGCTAAATATCTTAGCTCTAGCTCTTTACATTCTTTAAAATAATTTTTTTTAAGTTTTTACTATAAATATATAGGGAAAATCAATGACCCCCTGGGGCGGGGCCAATTTTGACCACAGGGCTTTTATTTGAACAAACTTGGTAGACAACCATTAGAAGATGTTTTCATTCTTTGGGTTCTTTAAAAGGAGATTTTTTAAGTTTTCATTTTATACATATAGGGAAAATCAATGACCCCCCCCCCCAGGGCGGGGCCGATTTTAATTCTAGGAACAAAATTAGAACAGTTTGGTTTTGGAAACCTATAGGTGATACCATAGACCAAATATCAAAGCTCTAGGCCAATTTTTACTTTCAGACCAGAATATTTTTCAAGTTTTTTACTATATGTATGTAATGAGAATCAATGACCCCCCCGTCCATTTATTTGAACAATCTTGATAGAGGTTCTACTACACAATGTTTTCATGCCAAATATCTAATCTGTAGCCTTTGCCAAATCAGAGAAGAAGATTTTTCTAGATTTTACTATATACATATAAGGAAAAACCTATGACCCCCCAGGGCCCCGGCCAATTTTGACACTAGGGACAAAATTTGAACAACTTTGGTAGAGGACCCATAGATTTGATACCATATACCAAAAATCAAAGCTCTGGCCCATGTACTTTCAGACAAGAAGATTTTTTAATTTTGTGTTTTTTTGAAATCCCTTTTCTGGCCCTATGACCTACATATGCAACAGACCGGAACCATTTGAACCACTTTGAAACGGCCCACCCAAGGATCATTTCTGTAAAGTTTGGTCGATGTGCAGTCATTGGTTTCAGAGGAGAGGTTGTTTTTATGTTAAAAGTTGACGACGCACGACGACGGACACACAGGGCCATCACAATAGCTCACCCTGAGCATTGCTTAGGTGAGCTAAAAAGTAAATTAAATTACTTATAATATTTCTTTAAAAAAAAGTTCAAAGGGATATTAACCTGAAAATAATGCTTTAAGATTTTAAATTATGAACCTAGTCACATAAGATGTGTGATGATAAGGAATATGTATTTGAAGTAAGAGGTAGATGCCTTTGAAACTTTAAAAAAGTCATTTAGTAAAAAATAATTTTTTCCAAGTAACAAAAAATTTAAGTTCATTGGGGAGGTAATCTTTTGGCAATTATTGGTTTGCTAGAAAATTAACAACCTTGTCACTAAATTTGGTTTTAAGATAAGGAAACATATATTTGAAATATTTGAAGTTGATCCCTTAAGAAAAATAAATAAAAAGTTAACAGTAAATTTAATAGCTTGTTCGGTTAGGACAGGCAACGCTCTACCAATTTCTAAGTGCTTTTGATAGGGAAAAAGAGCCCTTTGGTAATGTTAAATATTAACAAAAGGGCTCCAAATTTTCCTTTAAATCCATGTTTACTGTTATAGGCCTTGAAAGAGGTCCTTATTATGCCTCTTCAAAGAAGAGTATTAAAATTTTCAATTTTCCTTAGCCAGATGTCAAATAGTATTAAATATCTTGAGGTGGTATGCAAACTTTAATTAAATAACATAAAATCTAAGTCAGAAAAGGGGCATAATTCTGTCAAAATGCTTGATCCAGTTTTCCTCCTCCCCCCTGTTTACAGGTTGGGGTCATGATGGTGAACAAGTGTGCAAAGTTTCAAAAAGCCATATATCAATAGACTTATATTTGAGAATATTACAAAAACTTTTAACATAAGTTTATTATACACCTATGCTGACACAGAAGCCGACAACAAAACTGACGCACTTTGGCGACTACAACAGCTCTACTTTTTCTTTATCGAATAGTCGAGCTAAAAAATAACTTTTTTAGGAAAATTCTATCTTCAAGAGGAGATAAATTTTGAAAATATTTGGTAATAGAGTAATGAAACCTTGTCACATAAGATGTGGTTGATGATAAGGAACATATATTTGAAGTATGAAAGTTGATCCCTTTAAGAAATAAGGAAGTAACGATAGAAAATAATATTTTTTAAGTTAAAATTCTAAGTTCAAGGGGAGATAAATTCTGAAAATAGTGGTGCTAGAATTATGAAACCTTGTCACATAAGATGTGGTTGATGATATGGGAAACCAAAACTTCAAATCTGACTAGAAGGACGCAGACGCCGGGGCAAGTAGGACCGGCTCTCCATATACTTTGTATAGTCTAGCTAAAAATGAAAAGTAAGAAAGTGTTTTATGCAGTAAACATTAATATAAATATAAAAGTGATATGGCACTTTTTGTACTAAGAAGCAAGGAATGATATTTTATTTTCTTGCATCCTAAATCTATAGTAAATGATATTTTACCGTACCTTTCTTGCCTATTAAATGTATTGGTATTGTACCTAACAATATTGCTTTAGCAATGATGTTCCAGGGTTTTCAACATGTTTGTTTACACAAAATGTCCATACATATATCTAATTTTCTATTATAATACATATATATATGCATTAAACTTTATGCTTTAAAACAAAAAAATAGAACTTTTTACAACATTACCATTAGACAGGATTAATTTTGACCCCAGTGACACTACTGAAGTTTTCCAGATTGTATGTTAAATGATAAGCAGACTGGAAATCTATACACCTGACAATCTATTTTCCTTTCTTCGAATTTTCCATGAATATGTTGAACATAAGGCTTGGAATTTTTTTTAACAACATAGCAATATTCTGAGGTATCCAATGCATTTCTCTGCTTAACTTCAGCTAGAAACTTTTTAAAAGGAAGTTTTTCACCATATATTTCCAATACAAATTTAGGTGAAACATGTAGGTCCACTGGCATTCAGGGCTTCCATTAAGATCCAAAATTTGGAAGTCAAAGACTGCAAAATGTTCTTGACATTGGAAGTAACAAAATATTGGTAAAGAAGAAAAAAGCATTACATTTTGGAAGTCACAAGCCAAATTCAAGGAGTGTAAATGACTCACAAACTTCCATTAATGGAAGCCCTGCCATTACTATGAAAATGGTAGCCTGATGTTCATTTACAAATAGTGTTTATACCTTTATCATTCAAACAAAAAGTTTCTTCCAAAATTGTGTATTTCTCATCTAAACAAACAACATGGCACATTTCAACATCTTACAGTTCACATATATTCGTCTTACATGTCCACAGATATTTATATACAATGGATAGGAAGCTCAGAAAATAGTTGATAGTCAGATTCAGATCCACAGTGCGCTTCGGTGATAATCGTGTTTTCCCACTAACCCCCGATTCTCGCACTCTCGTTAAACCTCGGCGATATCCATGAACTACTGTTTACATTGCCGACATTTTTTTTTTTGAGAAATATCTGTGTGGAAAAGTGTGTATGGTACGTTTTAACATAAATAACTATTGCTTCTTATGTAAGTAGAAAATGCTTCGTCTTTTTTTGTCAATATTCCTCTTCGAATTGAATATGGCGGTATTTTGGCTACTATTACCCAGGATGCATCAAATCTTGGAAAATCCCGAAACACATGATAACTTGCACTAGAACAACCCCAATAATACTGAATTTAACTGTATGACGTCTAAGTTACTTCTACATCTATATTAAGCTCCATGACATGTCCAATCAATCAGTAAATCAATAAGTTGATTGATCATTAGAATAAATCAGAGAATGAATCATCAAGTCAATGAAATCGAGGAAATCAACACTCTGAAATTAAAAAAATTACATCAACATAAAACTAGAGTTAAATCAATTTCCTTTGTCTGAAATGCATAATTATCATTTAAATAAAAACCTCCAAATTTATGGTCAATTACAATAAACCCATTCACACTTTCTATATGATCTAAGTAAATAACCGAGGTATATCAAGTGAAAAAATACGAGTTGCTTCCCTTATCTTCGAGTAAAATTGATATCTCTTATGCTTAAACAAAACCGCTAGTTTGTTCTGATTAAATGTCCGCTTTTAAAATGTATTACACCAATAGCAAACGTTGGATCTTAGCTTCATCACAGTATATTCTTCAACACATCTTTTGACTCCACAAATATTCAAATGAACAGTTAACCCTACCACATGTCAGACCATTTTACATACAATTTATACAGTGAGAAAACAACCGGTTATCTTTATTCCTAAAACTACTGATAAGAAAAGCCTCTTGTCTGCTAGTTCTGAAAGTGTTTATCGGTGTATTAAATATTTACAACACATTGAACAGCTTACTTAACCTGTAGGTACCGTATATTAACTTATGATATAGCTATATGCTTTCTATTGGCCGCCACAATCATAAGTTCATTTAATTAAGTTATTATAAAATATATCATAATCATAAATAAATTCTAAACTCACCAGTTCGTGGAATTGAATGTACCAATAAAAGCATTATCTTCTTCAAACACGCATACTGTCAAACTCTATCTCTCTCTGCTGTAACTTCTGCAAAATATAATAAACACAATGTGCAAAGTGATATGAATAAATTGTGAGATTAAGTAAACAGAGAGCTAGATTAACGGATTTTTCTGAAAACAATTCTCAAAGGTTCCAAATCACGAAAAACTGATGACATTTCAAATCAGACCACACTCGTTACTTAATTAAAAAATTATCTATGACATACACTCTATAAAACACTAATTTAAACCAAATGCAACTCAAAATAATACTGACCAACTATCAATAATCCATATTTCCAATAAATTAAGAACAATTCGATTTTTTTACAAACAAAGCCGCTTAAACATAGACAAAACTAGTGATATTGCGGGGAAAACAAGGGAAACAACTCAAACAACAAAAAAAATATATCAAGACACCTGAATTATCAACACTGTTACACATCATGAAATCCAAATAAGAATTCCAAAACAGATTACAATAAGTTCAAATAATATTGGTAAGTTTTCTGTACCTACTTTTAGAAAATGATGAGATCAGCTTTCACATACAAATATAGCGTCGAAAACTTTGTTTTGGTACGAACTACTTCCTTACGCAAAGTTAACGCGAATGAATACTAATGATGTTTTTTACTGATTATATCCTGAAAACATGCAAATAATATACGATAGAAATAACACAATCAAAAATGAACTACTGACAATTAAAAATCTTATCACTTGTGTGTGACAAGAAATTCTGTGTAGAACTACTTTGCGTTGTTCGGTACCCATTCTTCTATTGTAATCCCGCAAAATGTGATAGAACTGTATTCACTGCTAACGCAGCGAATACAAAAACCGATAATTGGACGGTTGAAAGGGGAAGATTAACAGTATGAAGTCAATTATATAGATAATTACCCTGACAATACCGGACGTCGAAGGTGTGAATAACCTTGCAATTGTCAATTGGTTGTTTGTTATTCACTAACTGAGCGGTAACTAAATAGTAATTGTCTGATTTGTTTATTATGTCTCTTTTTACAGTTTGATTTACTTTGATTTATATTTCTTTCTTTAAAACATTAAAAAAGTGTATTATTTTTTATATTTCTGTTTAAATAATGACTAAATGACTATTGATACTGCATTATCTTTTCAGGACTTTACAACCGGATCATATATACTGTAAAATATTATTTTGTAAACCCCTTATGTATTTTATTAATACCTGGTTGAATAAAGATATTTGAATTGAATTGAATTGTTTATTATGTCTCTTTTCACAGTTTGATTTACTGTAAAGCATATATGTTACCGTTTAATAGTTATGCCTAAATGCGCAGGTAAAATCGGTATGAATAAAAACACAGATTTTTTTATAATGCGTTGCTTTTGTATATTAATTTCCTTATGTAGAAATTTATTGACTATTTGTGTAATAAACTAACTTACTCGGTCCGTCAATATGCCAGTTTATTTGGTAACTTTATAAATGTACTAATTAAATAGTTCTAAATTTACATAAAATTAAATAGACAGGTTCTTGTCTTAGGTAAATGGTGGACTTCGCAGGCATCATAGCGTGAAACTGATAACGATCGCTGATTGGCTTATCTCCGTGGCCCCTGTCAGCTTGATTGACAGGTCGGCGTTATGTCAATTTTTAATGACTGCATGTTTATATATGCTTATATTTTTTGTATGCATTCTATTGAGCCTCGAAACTTTGTTAATATTTATTTACCTCATGTTGTCAATGTCTTGACCTGAGAGAAATAAAGATATTTGTATTTGTATTGTATTTGATATATAATAACTACTTGTATGGCTGGCTTTATGCTACGCACGCCTTACGGCAAACTTGTTTTTCATCCCTTATTACTTAATCGCTACGTCTTAAAAATCTGTATGACACCGATTAGATTACCATTTGAGCATATTACCGTTTAATCTTATAAATAATGTTTATTTTTGTTTGTTTGTTTTGAAAAATTTTCAGTACTAATTTTTCATCCGACGATGATAACAATAGAAAAATGAAACAATTTCCATTAATGGAATTGCTTGGTTTTATCCATTATATGAACAATATTAAAAATTTGTTTTCTATAAGGTTATTATTACAACTGAACGAAGTGATCAACATATTGTTTGTTTTCCGAAAAAAAAACACCTTACCGCGGTATTTATATTTAATGAATTCAAATAAGTTATAAACTTCAAATCCAGGAGAGATTTGCCATTTAGCTTGTGAAACTATTTGAATGTCAAAATAGAATGGATGAGACAGAAAATACAGATAGCAGACCGGCGAAGAGTACATCATAGCATTTTGGATTGTTTTATATTTAAATGAATTTTGGTGATTAAATCGTTACATAATTATGATACTTTCCTGTATTCATTCCCGTCATATTCCAAGATAAAATGCCAATGCCTGTTTTGTTATAATTATTATTATCATTATTACTGTTATTATTATTATTATTATTATTATTAGTAGTAGTAGTATTATTATTAGTATTATTAATTATTAGTATTATTTCTTCTTCTTCTTATTATTATTAACATTATAATTAATATTATTATCATCAATATTATTAATTATTATAATTATTATTATTATCATTATTTTTTATTATTATTATTGTTATTATGATGATTTTTATTTTATTATTATTATTATTATTATTATTATTATCATTAATTTATTATTTTTTATTACTATTATTATTATTATTATTATTATTATTATTATTATTATTATTTATTATTATTATTTCTTCTTCTTCTTATTGTTAGCATTATTTTAATCATAATTATCATAATTATTATTATCATCGATATTATTATTAATTAATTTTATTATAATTATTTTATTATCATTATCATTATTATTTTTATTATTATTATTTATGTATATTATAATTATTATTTATCTATTATTATTATTTTTTATTATTATTATTATTATTATTATTATTACTTTTTATTTCTTATTATAATTATTATTATTATTATTATTATTATTATTATTATTTTTGTTATTAGATCTATTATTTATTTATTTATTATATTTATTTATTATTATTATTATTATTATTATTATTATTATTATTATTATTATTATTATTATTATTATTATGTTGCATATTCCCTGCCATTTTATTTGATTTTTGGATTTTATTTTATTCGTATATTTTGTATTATATGTTATAAGCGCCACACCTAAAAGATAGAACACTCTCCCATTTGCAAAGAATGGGAATTATCTCCCATTATAAGAAATTGGATTTTTTTCCCATTTATCAAAATAGAATTTTCTTCCCATTATTAAGATGGGTGATTTCACCCATGGGTGCGTTTCACCCATAATGAAAATGGGAGATTCTAAAAATATTTATATTTCGATCTATATTTTTAGGAAGGAATATCTTAAGTCAAGATTAGTGATTTTTTTTTAAATAATGGTATATAAATTTTTTTAATTCTCCCGTGATTTTTTTCTCCCATTCTCGTAAAGAGGAAATGAAACCCCACGAAACTCCCACTGGGAGACCAAATCCCCAGTGGGGGAATCGAAAAACCCCATGGGACGGCCAACTTTGAATGTCTCCCCTGCATTTAATTTTAAGGGTATCGTCATTTCAAAGGCCAGGTTTTACTTGACTCTATCTCTATTATTGACCGGTCTTTAAATTTTTTCTCTAATCAATTTAAAAAAGGTAGCTGAGTTTGCGAAAATTCCGGATTTGCAAACTTATTCCGGAGGCTGTTACAACCTGTTGTCTGACAAATAATTTTTCTTGGGCCTCAGATGAGCATACTGAAATGTTGTTGTTTTTTGCCAGTTTGACATATAGAATTATTTTCTATTTAATCATAACTGAATATTTCTTGCTAGTTTCTGGCAATTTGTTGCTGTTTTTCTTAACTAAGAAAGGAACAGTCCTTAACTTGCACACTTATAGTATTGACATTCAGCATTTCAAACATAGATTTTTCATGATTCTATTTAAATATTCAAATAAGATTTATTATGTAAAAGATTTCCAAGATAAGTTTATTTTTCTGCAATATAAGTATTTAACCCAAATATGGGCATACTGCACAGTATAATTATCTTTAATTTATAATTAACTACCAACAGAGATAGTACTTGTATTAATTGAATTGTATTCTGATATAATAATTTCAATATGGAACTTTAAATTGTAATTCAGTGTTCATTTGTATGCTCACTATGCTGTATTAAGGTCCAGATTTCAGAAACAGTACATTGTTTCATTATAAGTATGTTAAATGACAGTACATGCATAGTCCATTATTGTAATTTTGTATAAAGACTATCAAAGCATACTGGTCAGTTCCTTTGTTTGATTTGTATCTTCTATGGTAAGTGGACAGATGGTTGGCATGTTGCAGCCTTTTACAGAAAATTAAATTCTGAGGTGTTATGTAACTGAATGGGAAATATGTTACAATCAGCTGTTATTGATTATACAATATTGATTTATTGGACTCTGTGGCTGTCAGCACACAGTTGCAATAATGATACTAGTGTTTAATCAATTGTATTTGTTTGAATAATAGAAAATTTATATTTATTGGTGATTTGATATTTTAGTCAGTGGTAGTAGATTAATTTTGTTGATTATATGTTTCCATAATATAGAATTCTCAAATATGAGGGTTTTTGTTGTCTGATAATTATACTTTTATTTTGTTAATATACTAGATTTGAAGTTAAATTTGATAACTTGCTTTAGCAAGAAATGAAATTTTGAACAAATTCTCTTTGTAAAGAAAAGTTTGTTTAAAGTTGGATTCAAACCCAATGTGGTGAGGGGTAAGTGACCTAAACCACTCACTTCCCAGCACATGTATATGAATGTCATTGTGTGTATTAAGGTGTGTTTGTAATAAATGTATTGTAGGAGTCAATAAGCCAGCAAAAAGCCCAGTAGTAATAAATAGTTAAATGTAAATCAAATAGGCATTTAGTGCTGTATTAAACTAATACTGTCTTTTAAAAATAATCTATCAAATCTGTAATTTTGAGGCACATTATGCCTCAGAAACAGTGTAGAAAATAGTGAGTATTATAATTTTCTAAATAAATGGCTTAATGCTGAAAAAAGTAGTGCTGAACGTGAAATGATTTGTTTACAAAAGTTGTAAAATGTATAAAAATATTATTGTTTTGACTTTTGTACAAAATACAAAATTTCTGTAACAGTTTTCTGTCATAACTGCCAAAAAAGCAACAGAAGCAAAAAGATGGCTGAGGTAATGACATTTAGTAATTTGCTGGATACTTTTGTGTATAACAGGGCAACCAATAAAAAGGATTTGAAGAATTGAAAAAAAAATCTTGGTCATAGTCAGCATTTAAGCACTTATCAAAAGATGTATATACATTTGAAATTTGATGCCAGTTTAATATCTTTGCATACACATTTTGACTACATGTATCTTAATTTACTTAAATGCTAAAGCTATATGGTTCTATTTCACAGGTGTAGGAAAATCATGTCTTCTTCTACAGTTTACAGACAAAAGATTTCAACCTGTACATGACTTAACTATAGGTAAGATTGATTGTATATTTATACATGTCCTGATTTAATTGGAAATACACATAAATGTGGGTATCCTTTCATTGATTTATTGAAATTGCATAGATCTAGTTCACATGTGTATTTAGGAAGGAATTTTTCATTAGTTTTTGGACAGGCCCAAGAATTTGGTTTTAACACTTAGCTAACTGGATCCTGCCAGTGTGATCCCTATTAATAGGAACACAAGTAAACAAAATGAGTCTAAACTCTTTAATTTTTTTCTGCTTTATTCTTTACATTTCACAAGGAAGAAATAAAGTAAGTTATATATAAATGCAAAAAAAACATAGTTATTAAGGAAAGAAATTCTCAATATTTGTCAATGTGTACTTTCTACCAAAATTTCTTCCGGATTTTGTTACCAGAAAAAAAACTAAATTGTATCATTCATTTAAGAAATTCATACATAAACCATTTAGTACTGCTGGGGGTATGTCATTTCATAGGTTTTTTATTTTATTTTAAACATGTAAAAAAATTTTAAAAAATGATGTATTCATAACTTGTAAGAGCATAGGGGTATTTTTTATTCTTGAATTGTAATGTTTTACTGTTCACAGTCCTGTAATCTGCTGATTTTCTTATTTGCCAAGCTTCATGGTGTTTAGAGCAGTTGATATCAATTTTGGGAATATCAAGATAGAAATTTCTGGATTGTCAATCAACGTTATAGAGCCTGATACAGTCTGTAAATTTGTATAGACTCACTGATAGTTGAAATTGGTCACTTAGTTCCAGCCCCCTTGTGGCTGTGGTGTTGCCTTAAAGGGTTGAGGCATCAGAATCCCAGCCACTTGTTATCTCATTTATCCCTGTGTGTTTGTAAGAGGCGACTGAAAGGGTTTGAATTACTGGAGTCAATGCATCTCTTTGCTCCAGAAGGTGAAATGGATTTTACCAAAGGTGTTGCTTTAAAAATTTGAAGCTGAAATGATCTTTCCTGTTTCAGCGCCATATGACCCAAGCTTTATTGTTGCACTGAAAACAATAACCAAACAAAACAAACAAACTTAGTTCCAGCAGGTTACCATTAAGGATTAATTGATAAAGTATTTGCTTTTTGATAGAGACTTATTTAATGGTTATAACCTTTTGAGAGCTAGGGGCAATGTTATTAGACATGTGTCACCATCATGCTCAAGGTGAGGTGACCAAACTTTATACTGTTAGCCAGTCAATTTTAAGATTTTTATTATACTTTTGGCCATTAACATGCTGGCTTTGCCGGAACAGTTCATTTAAATTTTAAGGTATTTTCATGAGGAAAATTAAACAATTGATCAGTCAACAGTATCAAACCTAGTTGTCAGACTGCATGGATGTTTAGACCTGCTTGGCTCTGTACGGCAGCAAAGATTAATAAGTGACTTTTGGTCCCTAAAGCCTGTAAAGGTCAAGTTTTAGAGAGTTAAATGAAGTTATGTCGTATTTATATTACAGGGGTTGAGTTTGGAGCACGTATGATCTCTATAGATGGTAAACAAATCAAACTACAGATATGGGATACTGTAAGTATTATTTTAATACCATCTTAAATTTGTGTTGTATATATACTTTTATCTTACTTTGCAAAATTACCCAAAAGACTCGGAAGAGAGCTACCAAATGAGAACGTTGGTTTGTTGGTTTGAGTCTTATGACACAAGTAGCTCCAGAGTCCAGTAGCACAAGTAAAGTAAGGTATATAATTGTATTTGAGACAAACCAAGTAAAATAGTATTGTGTTTATGACAGAATGTTCATTCCAGATATCATTTTAACTAAGTATTCGATAGCTGCTCTTTTACTATAAAATATGATATTTTAGATTTTCATTTTGAAAGTGATTAGATATCTAGGAGAAGTACTTTTCATAGCAATATTGAAAGTTATAAATATTTGACATTTTTTTTATAAAATAGTACCCATTTCAACTTCAGAAATGAATATTTTTTTTACCCTTACCATGCGTGGAGCTACAGATTACAGTGATAATGGTTAATGTCAGAGCTACATTATGATTTTCAGTGATAAAATAGGATTTTATGATTTCCGTAAAATAACATCACAAAGAGAATTTAGCCTATTAGAGATTGTAATCAGTTTACTGACATTAAAGCTCTAAATGGGAAGTAATATCATGCAGTTTGCTTTTGAAAAGCACATTTGATGTTGAAAAATCCATGATTTGAATGCCTCTGCATTAATTTTATAGATTGTAGACTGGAGTATGATATTTTTCTTGTATGCCTGCAGACTACATTGTACTCTAAACTTAGCTGTAACATTCTCATTATATCAGCAAGAGCTGTTATATTTAGACATTCTTATGTATGTAATTCAGGAAGAAAGAAACATGAATTTGCAGTTTTGAAATATGACTTTGACCTCTATAGTCATTGATTTCCTAGGTAGTTCCCCTCTTTTGCTTAAAACATAGTTATGAGTATGATGATATATTGATTTAGTTTAATTGATCATACTTGTGAAAAAATGTCCGTTATTGTGAATGTGAGGTCATTCATTCTTTCATACATTCATTCTTTCATTCAGTCATTCATTTATTCATTCATCCAAAATTCCAATTAATCAAGTCTTGTTTTCTAGGCTGGACAAGAATCTTTTCGTTCCATCACAAGATCTTACTACAGGGGAGCAGCTGGGGCACTTTTAGTGTACGACATCACAAGGTGGGTACATAAATTTTATGTTTGTATTTAGTACCAGAGTGAAAAAATAATTTTACTTAATACAGGGAGTGTGTTTTTGGAGAAAATAGGCAAAAACTTTCTGCAATAGTCTTTTAGATCTTCCACTGAAGGCAGATTAAGCTACTGTATGTGAACTGAGTACACACAGAAGATATTAGTTGCAAATATTCAGAAGCATGTCTATAGTCAAACCCCAATCATAAAGTTGGATTTGATATGTTATGACATACTAATGTTTGCTAATGTGATTTCTCCTTAATTTCAAAACATTAGACCTGAATTGCTAATTGGGGAATAATGTAAAATAAGTCCATGTGTGCTCTTGCTGGATCAATTATAAGTTCAATATTTAATGTCTTGTAAACTTTGCACCATTTAACCCTTTCGCTGCAAGAGGATTATTGTTTTATTGATCACCTATTTGCCAGAGGGTTTTCTAAGAAATTACTATATTATTAATTAATATAATTATTATTATTTGTTATTAGTATTATAATAATTATATATGTTTCCAAATCTGTGAGTATAATAATAATTATTGTCGATGGTATAATTTTCTTTATATTTATTTAATTTTTATTATTATTAATTTATTATTATTACTATTATTATTATAGAAACGGCTAAAGCCGTCCATATGGCAAATACGCCGAAAATAACAGGGACGGCATAAGCCGTCCCTATGGCAGTGAAAGGGTTAATTAAATTATAAGTAAGGAGTTTTCTTGTTTGTACCACATACATCAGCTTTGTATTGAAATACTCTTGTGTATATTGATGAATAATATTCAAAATTGTGTTTGTTTACATCCCCGCACAAACTCGTAATGTTGTATTTGACAGACGTGACACATTCAATCATCTGACCACATGGCTGGAAGATGCCAGGCAACATTCCAACTCTAATATGGTCATAATGTTAATAGGTAACAAAAGGTAGGCACTTATTAATCTTATTATTTTTTTTTTTTTTTAAATATTGTGTTGTCCCTCATTTAGCTATTTTAATTCTAGGATTTTGATTATTTTATATATTAATTGATAAGATTTAGTTCAATATTATATAAAAGTAGGGGAAGTTTATGTTACAAAATTTAGTAGTGTCTGGATGAAATACTCATAGTATTTGTTGCGACAGTGTTGTATTTTTGTTTTTGGGGATACTTATTATTACCTTATTGAACTGTTCATTCATTGAATACTCATTCTTCATTGATGTCTGAATGAAGGCCAGTTGAATTAATAACTAACTTGTGATCTGGCTAATACAATGTATTAAGGACTGATGTTTTCTCATTTCTGTATAATTTATTATTTACTAGGGTTCTTGCAATTCCTTCACTGAATTTTGTTAAATTCATCATTCATGGAGTATGGACATAATTTCTGAATTTTTTTTGTTGAACAGACATCTTCTTGTTTCACATAATAGACAGAATAAATTAATTTCTGCTTACGTTTGGAGGTGGAAAAAAACAACCTCATTACAACTTTTGATCATGAAGAAAATCTTGGTTACAAAATTAATTGAAGTAAAGGCATTTGATTATAAGAAATCTACATTTGTCAGGCTAATTATGTTAAATAGGGAAACAAATAATGAGAATCAATTGGTTATAATCATTCCATAGTTGTTTGTTTTTCTGCGTACAGATTTCATAAGCAAACTTTACCAATTGCTATTTATGTTTAATCAATCATATTCTTGCTGGTACTTGTATTTGCATGTGAGGAAGCTATCAAGCTAGCTTACGGAACGTCGGTAGTTCTACTCAGGTACCTGTTCGTGCCTGACATAATGCACGGAAGGGCACCTGAGGTCTTCCTCCACCAGTAAAGCTGGAACGTCGCGATATGACCTATACTGTGTCGATGTTAAGTAAAACCCCAAAAAAACAAACAAAAACATCAAACATAATGAGACCCCTGCATGTATGAACAGTTTATAATCTCTTAATTCCAGTGATCTTGAGGCAAGAAGAGATGTGAAGAAGGAAGAAGGCGAGGCATTTGCCCGGGAACATGGTCTTATTTTCATGGAAACCTCGGCTAAAACTGCGGCCAATGTAGAAGAGGTAGGTACTATTTTAATATCTTGTTTTAAGCAGCAGGCCTGTGGACTCATGCTAATAAATTTAATGAAAATTAAGCAAAAGTATATCAGTGGCGGTAAAATCAAATTACGTGTATTGTTCAGGTTGTCTGTAGGCCTGTACAGACTTATGAAAATTTTACAGAATTTACTTTATAAATATCATGCAGACAATAAAAGAAATGCTACAGATATACTTGACATGTTGTAAGTCAAAATCAGATTATGCCAGCCCTATACAACAAATATTTCTAACTGAAAATGTAAAATGATTAATGCTAGCAGAAGGCATTTACAATACACATTGATTGCCTAAAAAAGTGTCATGATATACAGATTGAAATGGTCCCTGCCTTTTAATATGATTGTTGCAGGTAGAAATATGGTGATAAAGGGTTAATTTTATTAGGCATTTAGATACTCCTGTGCCCCTCTGTCCATTATATAAGGCACAAGGGGAGTAGGAAACTGACTAGAACTGTCACAAAGGCTACCCCCTCTTTCATCTGAAAAATCAAACTAGTTGGGTTACTTAAACACACCCAAAACCAAAAACTCAAAGTATGCAACTTTAAAGTAGCATGTTATTAATTAATCTTTTGTTTTTTGTTAACAGGCTTTTATAAATACAGCAAAGGAAATCTACCAGAAGATACAAGATGGTGTATTTGATATTAACAATGAGGTAAAAAAGTGTTAACATAATTTCTATATTTGTTTTATTTAAAAGAATATTTGGTTACTTTGAAACTTAGTAATTTACATTTTTATGCCCCTTGATTTTGACTTTCTCTGGCTCGCATCTGTAGACTGACAAAACAGTGGGATGTAGTGGTATCCATATCCTATGGCATTTTACATAAAGATTGGAGGATTTTCCAGTCATCTATGTTTCTAACTACTCGCCATTGTAATTTCCTAAAGCAAATTTTTTTTTGCTAATTTAGTATAAGTAACACTAGCTTGAGCTCTGATTTTGCACGTTCAGTCACTTCATTTTTGTGTCGCCTCTACAGA